AACCGGTATCCAAAACCAAAGTGAAATATTTTGGAACTGGAATCGATAATTTTCTAAGAACCGGCTTATCCCTAGTTTTATTGTTGTTTAATTTAAATATATTTTGATTTGTTTGTATTATAGATTGTTGGTGATGATTTGACTGTAACCAACCCAACACGTATTGCTGAAGCAGTAGAAAAGAAAGCTTGCAACTGTTTATTGCTTAAAGTCAACCAAATTGGAACTGTTACTGAATCCATTGATGCACATTTGTTAGCTAAGAAGAATGGTTGGGGTACAATGGTATCCCATCGATCAGGTGAAACTGAAGATACATTCATTGCTGATTTAGTTGTTGGATTGAGTACTGGACAAGTAAGTTTCTAAATAATAATTACTAATCATATAAACACATTGCTGTTGTATCTGATTGTATAGTAACCTTTATATTTGTATTGCTCTTAATTAAGTAAATAATAAAAATTATAATAATTTTAGATTAAGACTGGAGCTCCTTGCCGTTCAGAACGCCTTGCCAAGTACAATCAAATACTTCGTATTGAAGAAGAACTGGGTAGCAATGCCAAGTATGCAGGAAAGAATTTCCGTAACCCACAAGCTGGCAATTAACTATTCCTTTTAATGAATATCTAAGAGGCATCTTTTAAAATAAATCTGAGCAAGGAGGAATCACATATTAATAAATACCTCATTATTTATATCCAGTGAAAACAACAATAGCTATTATTTATTCAAAATCGGTATATACTTTAGCATAGAAAAAATACGTACAAGAATAATTGTTGTTAAACAACATCTTAAATTACATTATTTGATTGTTTATGTTTTTGTAGTAATTTGTTGTGTATTAATGTGTAGTGTCAAAGCTATTTAAGCTGCAAACACATTTGTAAAAGTAATTTTTTTTTTAAATTACAATATAATATATTCTACTTGATCAGTCATATTGGTGTTTTAAAYATTATTGGTATTCAGTAATTGAATATTCTTCCAATCTGATTTCAAGTTTATAAAATCAACATGTTGAATATTATAGTTAATTTGCGAGTGGTTGAAGTAGAGTGAGTGTAAAAAATCATACAATAATTAAACAGTTTTAAAATTTAATAACCTTATATTGAATTTTCATATAATTTTAATTTCATCTGGGCATTTTAATAAGTTGATACATTATATGAAATTTTCATTATCTAATTATCTGTCAATAATTTTGTATAAGGAATTCATTTAAAAAATTTTAATTTATTACATTCTCAGAATGGTTATGGAAAATAGACAAATCTCACATTTTCACACATCACATGTCAAATTAAATGTCTTCTCAAAAAAAAAAAAAAAAATTGACAACTTTATAAAATAAGAATAATACAAATTAGTGAATGCCGGTGATCAGTTATAATTTAAATATATATATATATATTTCTATCAATATGTCTTTAAACTTGGAAAAGGTAGAGTATATCTAACACACTACTACTCCCGTTTTCTATTAATAAAATTTTCACATGTTTGGACGTCACTCTCATTGTAGTGAGTCCAGAGGAGCAGAGTGAAGCAATCAAAACGAAGRTGGCAGTGAGACTATGAAGTAGTATTTTTGCAATGCCAGGTTTGAACTGACCACTGTACATAATATGGTCAACTGTATATCAATCATTGTACCACACTTCCTACAATTAAATAATAGAATTCTTATGAGAATAATAATTTAGAAATCTAAAAATGGCCAGAATTTTTATTGGTAATCATAATATCAGGTAGTAATAGTGTTATTTAAAAATACAAATATATATTTTGAAAGTATTAGTTCTGGTTTATTGTACCTGTCAAGTATTAAAGTAAAAACAAAATAGTTGAAAATATTCAATTATACTATTTTAATATTTCTGTTTTAAAATAGCTATTTATAATTCCTTATAAAATTGTTTCTTGTGTGATACTTGTGTTTTGTAGCTCCAAATTCTGATAAAAATGCATATAGGTAAATAGTTTGAAATGTTTAAAAAAATAAATTGTATGAATCTTGAGAGAATTCATAAGATCTTGAATTTTCGTTTTGTAGGAAATTTAAAACAGTCTGTCCCAATAGAAACAATATCAGACATCAGTATAATAAGATCATAACATTTTGATGGTACAAAATAACAAAATACAAAAAATTATATTAATAAATTTAAATTTGATATCTTTTTTAAACGTACCGATGAAAATTTAATCCCGCGCACTGCAGACTGCAGACCATAAGGATAACAAAATAATATTTAATTAATTTAATATATTAATTAGTATTTTGGTATTTATAACGTTCAGTAAATATCTACCTATATGGCTATATRTGTGTCGTGTATGCCCTTTAATGCGTTTACCGTTCTATCATAATATTATTACACAATAATAATCCGAATAATCGCATTGTTCTCGCACACGTAAATTTAATTAAAATCGCTTGTTCATGTCCTATGAGCTATGTGATATTTTATAATAACATGATATTATATACAGGTTGATTCACCCAAGCAAGCAAGCTGTCTGCAATTTTTAGGATTCTAAGCGGAGCGATGAATGTAACGATTTTAATAATTTTACAATAGGTAATGTGTTACAATAAGTAGTTGACATATTTCTTTGATTTATTAACTTATAAGTATCTTTTCCGTTATGAAAATGAATCTAATTGGTGTATTCAGGAGGTCAAAATTTAAAATTTTCAATAGTTTTCAAAAGCGCCGATAATAATGAAAAAATTAAGGAATTACGGGGAAAATAAAGAACTCAAACAAATCAGTAAGACAGTAATCACCGTAGATACATAAAAATTTCACTTGAATGTTATTAGGAATAATATCATTTTCTTTACAACATACCTACGTTATTTTTACYCCTATTATAAGYTCCTTATAAGTTATGATGTAATCTTCGATTATTATTTGTTTTTTTTTTWAAATTAATGTCGATAATAACTTATAGCTTGGTCAATAAATTTGAAAATTTATACTAGGTTCCTCGTAAATTGTTTTTGATGGAAAAAAAGTTTCGTGTAAATTCACAGTAATTTTATGAGCATCAAAATTTAGATTTTTGACAAAATA